TTGTGTTTTGTATGTTCCATATTTTTTGCCATTTATATTTTGAACGTTCATTTATGAGATTTTTCGCGTCGTCGTATGACATTTTATTAATTAAGAYGGTTTCTTTGTTGTTGATGGCAATTGCGGCGTGTTCATCGGCTATTTCATTGCVTATTATACCCGAGTGTCCAGGTATCCACATGATGACGATATTTTTACCCAGACTGGAAGCTAGGTTGAGGTTGTTCAGAATTTTGGATGCAATATCACCGGGATTGAAAAGGTTCTGCAGACTTCTTATAGTGCTCAATGAATCGCTGAGAATGATGAATTTCGAATGAGCTTCTTGTAATATAGTTTCAATAGCCATAAGGATGGCTATAGCTTCTGCTGTGAATATGGAACAAACCGGAGGTAGTTTGTGTATAATTTTTTTATTTGGGAATATAATCGAGAATCCTACACCTTCGTGAGTTTTTGACCCGTCAGTGTATACTCCCTGGAAGTCTTTGTAGTTACTTATAATGCTTTTAAAGAAATGTTTGAAACTATTTGGCGAGGTTTGATGTTTGTAAAGACAGCTGAGTTCTGTATTAATTGTATATGAGCTGGCCCAAGGGGGTTGTGTAATTTTTTCTTTGGTTATAATTATTTGCGTTATATCAATGTTTGTGTCATTCATCTCTTTTATGAATAGGGGGTTGTTTTTTTCGTGAATGGTGTTATTTGATTTTGAAGATCTTGCTAAATATTTAAGATGTAATTCAAGCCTTTTTATATCGGGAATGAGTTCACCAGCGAGATTATAAATACTGTAGACAGGACAACTGCGAAACACTCCTAAAKCCAGTCTCAAACCACAGTTATTAACACYATCTAGCCAGTTTAGGAGGGATTTGGATGCTGTTCTGTAAAGGGATGAACCATAGTTAAGTTTTGATTGGATTAAAACTTTATGAATTTTAATTAGAGTGTTTGTTTCCCCACCCCATGAGGTGTGAGAAAGAATTTTTATAATTTTAACAGAATGACCGGTGGAGGCTTTTAAATGTTTAATGTAAGGGGACCAAGATAACCGTCTGTCAAAGATAACACCAAGTATTTTTACAGAGTTTCGATGTGGAACTTCAACTTTGTCAATTATTATTTTTAGAGCGTCAACATTCTTTTTTTCGTGAAAATAGTACAGCTAGATTTTTCTGGAGAAAATTGGAACCCAGTTTGTTTTGCCCAATTTTCTAAATTATTTRCGGTAGTTTGAAGTAGATTCTGAACTGTGTTTTTGGATTTACTTCTGCACCAGAAGTTGAAATCATCCGCGTATAAGTTGAATTTAACAGGATGCGTACAGTTTTTGGTAATGTCATTGATAGCAATCAGGAAGAGGGAAACTGACAGAGCAGAGCCTTGAGGAACGCCATTTTCTTGAATAAACTCATCCGCGGATAGGCAATTATTTGCTCTAACCCTAAATGTACGGTTTTCTAGAAAATTGCTAATTAAGTTAAGAAATTTTCCTTTGCTTACTATTTTATTGAGTTTTACTAGAATGTTATGTCTCCATGTGGAGTCATAAGCTTTGGCAATATCTAGATTTACCATGCCCAATYGTATTTTGTTGTGACATAAATATATAATAATATTAAATATGAAATTTGTTTTTGGGGAAAATTAGCGTGACCTACTAAAATTTGTTTTCGTACACTTATATGCTGGAAGACCATTTTTCGTACCCACCTATATATACGATTGTTGTCATTGCGTTAAAATTTCGACACATCTATTACCGTGACCTACCTCAATGACGAAAAACAGTCAACTCCTAGTATAACAGCAAATATAATTTCCAGCTCATTTTTATTCATAATTGGATACTTTTATTTATTTTTATAATCTTCTATTGCTGTCATCGAATGACCAGATACAGAGTGACCAGGGCTTGCGCTAGCTTTCGCAAGACAATGGGAAAAACTCATTCAACCATAGTCATCTATAGGCTATAACCTATACAATTTCTATATGAAATATTTTTCAATGTAAATTGAAAGCGTGAGGCCCTAGAAAAATGCCCCGTCTTGCCCCCCCCCCCTTAACTGAGGATGATTTTTTAAGCAAATTTTGTGTATTACTTAAGGATGATTATGTGATAATAATTCAAACTTTCATTTTTCAAATAGAACCTTCTCTTTGAATTTTTAATTATTAATAAGATTTTTTTGATTTTTTTCGTGAACTCTAATGTATCTAAATTAAAATACAAACTAATAGTTTTTGAATTATTTAATTTTGTGTGTTTTAAGGACAAAATGTATATTGTAAAGAGTGAAGTTAATAAGAGGGTTTATACGTTTTGTACAATTTTAAAATTACTATTAATTTATCAATATAAATACTTTGTAAAAATGATCCAAGTGTAAAAAATGCTACAACATTATGTATAGTTTTTATTTTTTAAAACCATTTTAATGTATTATCCTAAGCATAAACGGTTTAATAACTCAGAAACTACTCATTAKTAATAAAAATAAATAAGTAGTAAAAAAGAGGTACTCGTTTGAAAAATATAACTTTGTGTCACCATAGGATACTCTTTAAGTAGTATAACAAATATCAGAGATATTAAAATTTGGTCTTTAGGTCTACTTTAGAATTCTAAAAATAAGAATATGAATAAATGGTCCGTTAAAGGAAAAAATGACGTCGACCATGCCTAAAAAATCACCCTGTATATATACATATATATTGTTTAAAGTTTAGATACTGTTCAATACGTATTGAGTATTTGGTAAAACACATTTTTAAATTGTTCTTTTTATATTTTTTAGAATATTTTTTAACGCGAATGTCAACTACATCTACCTCAGTAGTCAGAAGTAAAATAAAATAATAATTGAATAGCTGTAATGGATTACTCGTGATTTCAATCCATCACTCTACTTTTATAGGTTAGGTACTTTTTTTCCACAAGGACTGTATGAAAGATGTATATTGTATATATTATATTATACTTATTGGGCATTATAGGCATTAGGTATAAATATGTGATTTCCTCCCTCTTTAATAAAAATTCAGTTAATAACATAATATTATGAGGATTGCATGTAGCGTAATTATAACGATTTACAATCTAATGTGTATTATGTATTTCAAGATTTCAAGATTTATCTAATTAAATAATACTACTCAAGTACGAAGGTTAATCTTTATTTTCGTGATCGGCTGTTTTTAGATTCTCTATRCTGAAAACAAAAGTAGGTTCCTAGTTACTTGTTTTCAAAAGTCTTATTCATGGCTATTTTTGAGTTTATTTACTTAATTAACGATTATTWTACAATCGTTTATAAAGTTAAATGCACAACTGTCAATTTCCAATCGAACCATATMCATTTTTAAGTTCTTCAACTGCACTTAATTTAAATAAGCACACACACTCATATGGTAAAATCAATGAACMGTTTCGTTTAAACTAAGATATAAATCTTAAAAAATAGAGTGCTAATTAGAATATATATCATTTTAATACAAGTAACTATACCTATAATTGTAATAAATTATGTCTTTTAGTCTCTACAATACTACGTACTACCTGTCATTATTATATTAAAATTTAATTGACATGATGTATTATGTACAGGCACGTACAACAAACATGAAACAAATAAGAAAAGTTCTAAAAAAGGATTTTTTTCGGTCATAATATTATATTAGTTTTTTTTACTAATTTATTGGTTCCATGTCTTTACGCCGACGGTATCTACGCCGACGGTATCAACGCCGACGGTATCTATGCCGACGGAAAAAATGCCAACGAGTATCTACGCCGATAGTAAATACGCCGTTGGTATGTTTTTTTACAAAACGAATGTATTTCTATGGGACTAATATAAGAATAAAAATTAACTAATATGAAACTGAAAATTATGGAAAATTAATTATGTAAGGATTATGTAACCTAACGCAGGATGATACGCATCGCAGGCAACAGTAACAACATCAGATTTAACAACAGATAGTCTTGTCTCATTTAAGAAGACTAAGCTTAGTATACCTCCATGCAAATTTGATACCTGGTTCAACTRAAAAAAGTTGTAAAATGAAAACAGTTCTGGAATACACTGAACTCTAGGACCAGATGGAGTGGATGAGTATATAAGACCAAAGTCATCGTTAGACCTTGATATATCAGGTAAGTTAAAGTCACCACAAATAATAAATACCTATGCATCCAAGATGAGAATCAATAACAGATTGAGCAGCATTAACAAAGGAATCATATACAATAACTGGACTAGAAGGTGAAATATACAAAGAACAAAGAATGAAGGTTGTATTGTACACATGAAACTTAACAAATACATGTTAAAATATTTTTGATAACATACGGTAATAACTCACATCGGATATCTATGTATCACTATGTATTATTATTATTGTTTTAAACATAAGACATTCTTAGCCAAGGCTATCTATATCTAGGGATATTTGACAATTTACATTAGTTTTAACTGATTAACATGATAGTTATAAATATTTTTAATAAGTACTTAGGATAATTTACAATTGGTAATTTAAAAATATATAAAAGTAACAATGCGATTACAATAATGTTCTAATATTTACATTTACAGTAATTTAATAACTATAAGTAACATATATGTCGTAGAGAAAAAAGGATTACTATTGCATAAAATATCGTAAAAAGAAAGTTGTTCATTTGTGATGAAAAACAATTTAAACGCAATATTGCAAAACATTACGATGGATCCACCATGCTTATACGATGTACAGAACACTTAACGATACCTATAGATTTAATAATATTTTTAAAAGTAATCAAGAGGTATATTTATACTATATAAATATATATTATATTCCTATATTTAGGAATTCCTAAATATTTTTATTTTTACTTCCTATATTTAAACTATAATATCCTATATTTTATATTAATTTGCGTATRGTACTGGCCATTATGTTTATTGGTCATATATTTCAAGCGTATTTCTATATTAAACGATCGTCTGAAATGCAGTTTCATTGATTTTTTAACAACATTATATGAAAATAAACTTTTCTACAAAGGTTGATACCGAGTAGATGTCATGTAAAATCTGAAAACGTATTCGAATAACGTAATAAATAAATCGTTAAAAATCATAAATACTGACTTGGTGAGTTGAATAGAAAAAAGGGATTTTAATGATTTTACAGGTAGCTTTTTATTGATACAGAGAGAATGCCAGATTTGATGAGCGATAAATTTATCTCATAACGCATCACAAACGAAATATAACCAATTATCGTCGATCTAAAGGGTTATGAATAATATATGGTACAAATAAGAATAAGTTATAACTTTTACGTTAACCCCACGTACTTACAAAATCGTTTCCTTTTCTATGTTTCGTTAGGCAGTTGTTAATATTTAATAATATTGTCGAGTGCAATATCCTGAACTAACTCTCAGCCCATAATTTCTATGTGTTTCCTGTTGATTGTTTATTTTTGAAAATTTTAAACGTTACATATCTTAAAATAATGCGAAATATTGAAATATATTATTGGATGGTTTATGTAAGATTCAATAAATGGCTTAACAATAATAATTAAACGTATATAGAATCGATAAATTAGTTATTATTGTTCTATACATTTTTTAGGAATAAAATGCATATCAATCCTTGACTCGCTACAATTTATAAGTTATAAGTAATTCAAATTATATGAACTTATAATAAAAAAAAGAAACTTAATTTAGTAAATTAGTGTCTTATAATAAAAAAAAAAATCGTCTTGTATTATTATATAGAGATTAAAACGGTTAAGTCTCGAGTTACGGAATTCATTAAAAATACAACGCTACTTTTTTTATAATTAAAAATTAGTTTCTAAGCTATTGTTGCATATAGAAATAGCTTACGCATCTATTATTATTTTTTTCTTTTAAATATAATTTCAATGATATTTATATTTTTATAATTAGAATTTTTATAATTATGATTTTTTTCYTCTTTACTATGGCAAACTCTTATTTGTTTTCTTCATRATTTGAGTATGAGTTTCATGCAATAATTTTCATTGTTATATTTTTTACTGAGAGATATTTAATAATATATAGAAAATGTTTGATTCTTAGGATTTGTATCATATTATAAGTACCCATATAATACTAAAACGTATGTTCCATATTTTATAAGAACTTTCGATGCGTAAATCTGAAATAGGTACTACTTTTTACAAAAATAACAAATGTCGGTAACTATGTTTGTAATCGTCTACTGAAAAATTATTTTCAAAATCAAAAAGTTTATCGATCTATCGATGAATGACTTAATATAACTTAAAATATTTATCATTTGCTCTTTGGACACTATAAATAGTATAAAATAGCATGTTATGTAGGTACTGATAAATATAACATGACAGGTACGTACTACGTATCAACTAAAACGCATTTATTGTTGTGAGTTTATTTAATAACCTACGTACTGAATAACAATAGATTTCAGTGTCTTGGGGCATATTATTTGGAATTAGATATTATGCAGATGCTATTGATGAACATATTAGGCAATAGAATTAATTTATGTTTAAAATATATT